AAAACAAGTCATGTATTGAATAAACTATATATCACGCAATTTTCACTATTATATTATATCATATAGCTCAGCTCTGATCAATATAAGGATTGGGTAAGGACAAGCATTGGGTACTCTTGTGAGTTTTGACTGTGTGAAAATTTATTCTTTATTATGTAATGGGTCTCTAAATGAAAACCTACCAAAGTTTAATTGAAACTTTTAGCTGTTTTACTGTTTAGATTTGTTTGTTGATTTCTGGTCTATTCAAAATAAAAGCTCCTTTTCTCTTTCTGTTGTATCATTTTGAAGTTGCACCAAAAGAAGAAATTTTGATGTAATGCTATATTTATAAAAGTATATATTAACTTCCCATACATACAACGATGGAAAAAAGGTAAACATTTTAGTTTACCTTACTTTCCTAATTTAAAGGTCATTTATTTCCCATTTTATGGGGCATTTTCTCCTATCAATAACAGATGATAAACTGGTATTAAAAAGATCATCCAAGGCTGAGCCAAAGGAGGGAGGTTGCAGGAATTAGGCTGAGGAAGAAGCACTGATGCTATCAGGCTAGAAATACACCTATTCTTAACAGCTACATATTCAACTAAGTGTTTTAACATCAGTCTACAATGTGGCAGGGTGTTGGAGTGGGCACCAGGTATTTATGACAACAGCTGATTAACAACAGCTGGTGACTTGAAGGTCCACACCTTACTACTGCAAACAAGCATCTACAGGCAGAACATACAGGAAGTATAGGGTGAGGGACAGAGTGCACAGCCAGATACTAGAAAACTGAGGTAGAGCTTTAGGACATGTCCAAGCATGTGGTTTATATGTAGTGATTTTTGAGAAAATAACACTAAATCAAATTACTGATGATGAATAGGAACAAGTTCAAGGTATAATGGATGACTAAAAATCCAGCAGCAGGTTTACAGTTTACATTTATCAGACTGAATTGTAAGCACCAAAACTGATGGTAGAATTGATTCAAATGGGGTTATCATTAGTACATTAGTATCATTAGATATAGTTATAAGAAATTAGAGAAAAAAAAATTATAACTATGAAAATATTTATTTTACTTGTTTTATAAACCATTCAATTAATTAATCAAAGTAAATAGAAGAAAATTGCTACACTTGTATTTTAAATATTTAAAGAACAGAGCAGACTACTATACAGTGTTGTTTGATCCGTGTGTTTTACTGGATAGCGTCCATGACCATGACCGTCTCTCCTTGACAGCTCCGACGTTTTTAATCGATATGAAGTTACTGTACGTAACACCGCCTTTTTTACGCGTTTACGTCACCGTGTCACTTTACGTAATTCGAGGCTTCATTCGCTTCATCGCAATTTGCTCCACCCCCTACTTGTCATCCAAGTACTTGCCACGTGCATCAAGCTGTCTGCAAGTAGCGAGTTATAGACCGGAAGCAGAATGTGTTGCATATTTTTTAAATATGTATCAAGAAGATCTTCATTTATTTAATTATTAACCAATACTTTAGCAGCACTCTTTATAAGGGATTATTGATCTATAAAATTTAACAGTGAAGTAGGAAGAGTATCAGAAAAACAGGAAAAAAAATTGTTGTTGTTTTTTCAGTCATCTTTAGTCATTGGATACTTTTATAATTCAACATGATAATCTTTGGTGTATAAGTGTCTGAGTTACGGGCTTCTGGTTTTGTTTTGTATTCCGAGTCTGCTGTCATAAAGACCCAGAACTTTATGGAAATACTTTTTGAGGTAAACACAGATATGTCAGGCTCAAAAGTGGCCCAAATGTGCCATTCCTATAACTCAAACCTGACCCTGAGTGATATTCTCAATTCGAGTCAATCTTAGGTCAGCTACAAGTCTGCCCTACAGTACAAGCCAGATGTCAGAGATATCAGGTGTTTTATAACATTTGTCTCCAAAAGTTGATTC